ATAGTTTTTGTGGAATCTTTAGGGCTTTCTATATACAGAATCATGTCACCTGCAAAAAGTAATAGTTTTTGCTTCTTCCTTTTTTTATGTGAGTGCATTTTAGTTATTTCTCTTACCTTATTGCTCTGGGTAGGATTTCCAGCACTGTGTTGAATATGAGTGGTGAGAGTGGACATCTTGTTTTGTTCCTGATCTTAGAGAAAAACCTTTCATTTTTTTTTTGCCAATAACTAAGGATTTATTATCAATGGCCTTTATTATGTTGAGGTACTTTCCTTCAATTCATATTTTATTGAGTGTTTTAATCATAAATGGATGTTGTATCATATCAATGCTTTTTCTGTATCTATTGTTAAGATCATATGATTTTTATACTTTTGTTAATGTGGTGTATTACACTGATTGATTTGTGCATGTTGAATCATCCTTGTTCCCCTGGAACGAACCCCATTTGATTGCAATGTGTTATTTTTTTTTTATGTTCTGTTGTACTCAATTTGCTAGTATTTTGTTTAGGAATTTTGCATCTGTATTTATCAGAGCTATTGGTCTGTAGTTTCTTTCTTTGTGTTATCTTTGCCAGGTTTTGGTTTCAGGGTTATGTTGACCTCATAGAATCTGTTAAGAAGTATTGCCTCTTCTTCGATTTCATGGATGAATTTGAAAAGGATAGGTTTTAAATATTTTTGAACGTTTGGTAGAATTCACCGGTGAAGCCACCTGGTCCAGGACTTTTGTTTTTTGAGAAGTTTTTGATGGTTGTTTCCATTTCCTCACTACTGATAGGTCTATTTAGAGTTTCCAATTCTTCATCATTTAGACTGGGAAGGTTATATAATTCTAGGACCTTATCCATTTCTTCTAGGTTATGATCCTTTGTTTATCTGTAATATCTGTGGTGACTTATCCTCTCTCATTTCTGTTTTTGTTTATATGGGTCTTTCTCCTTTTTTTTCTGTAGTGAGTCTAGCCAGGGGTTTGTAAATTTTATTAATCTTTTCAAAGAACCAGCTCTTTGTTTTATTAAATATTTTTGTATAGTCTTCTTGTTCTCTATTTCACTCAGTTCTCCTCTAATTTTTATTATTTCCACTATTGGCCTGGTGCATGAAATTCATGCATGGGGGCAGTATCCCTCAGCCCAGCTTGTACCCTCTCCAATCTGGGACCCCTCGGAGGATGTCCGGCTGCTGGCAGTCAGACATCCCTCTCGCAATCCGGGACCGCTGGCTCCTAACTGCTCACCTGCCTGCCTGCCCAATCGCCCCTAACCACTCTGCCTGTCGGCCTTCTGTCCTGCCTCCCCGCCCCCGCCCCCCCCCCCCCGCCCCGGCCGGCCTGATCACTCCCAACTGTCCTCCCCTGCCAGCCTCATGGACCCCAACTGCCCTCCCCAGCCAGCCTGATGGCCCCCAACTGCCCTCCCCAGCCAGCCTGATGGCCCCCAACTGCCCTTTCCAGCCCGCCTCATGGCCCCCAACTGCCCTCCTCTGCTGGCCTCATGGCCTCCAACTGCCCTCCTGGCCGGTCTCCCAGAAGGTCTCCTGGTCTAATTAGCATATTACCCTTTTATTAGTATAGATTCTTCTGCTGTTTTTGGGTTTCTTTTGTTGTTCTTTCTCTAGTTCTTTAAGATGTGATGTTAGTTTGTTTACTTGGGGGTCTCTTGTTTCTTGAGGTAGGCCTGTAATGATATAAACTTCCCTCTTATTACTGCTTTCGTTGCATCACAAATGCTTTGATATATTATATTGTCATTCTCATTTGTCTCTACATCTTTTTATCTTATCTTTTATTTCTTATTCAACTCAGTCATTTTTTAGTAGTATTTTGTTTAATCTCCATGTACTTGTACCTCCTTTATGCAGTTGATTTCTAATTTCAAGGCATTGTTGTCAGAGAATATGCTTGGTATAATTTCAATCTTCTTACATATTTTGATGCTAGTTTTATGATTCAACTTATGATCTATCCTTGAGAATGCTCCATGTGCACTGGAGAAGAATGTATAATCTGATGTTCTTGGAGAAAAGGTTCTATAAATGTCAATTATGTTCATTTGGTCTAGTGTTTCATTTAAGGCTGATATTTCTTTATTGATTTTATGTTTGGTTGATCTGTCTAGAGCTGTCAATGGAGTACTAAGGTCCCCAACTATGGTTGTGTTTTGATCTGTTTCTCCCTTTAATTCTGTGAGTATCTGTTTTATATATTTCAGTGCTCCTTGGTTGGGTGCATATATATTAACTAGTGTTATGTTTTCTTGATAAGTATCCCCTTTATCATTATAAAGTGTCCATATTTGTCTCTTGTTATCTTGAAATCTATTTTGTTAGATATAAGTATGGCGACACCTGCTTTTCTGTGGATGCTATTTGCTTGGAGAATCATTTTCCACCCTTTTACTTTAAATCTCCTTTGTGTTTGAAGTTTAGATATTTCTCTTATAGGCAGAATATGGTTGGGTTTTGTTTTTTGATCCACTCTGCTACTCTATGTCTCTTTATTGGTGAATTCAGACTATTTACATTTAGGGTAATTATTGATGTATGAGGATTTTCTATAGCTATTTTGTCTTTGGTTTTCTGTTAGCTCTGTGCCTCCATTGGTTCTTTTCCTTTGTGTTTCTGTCTGTTGTTTTTGTTTGGTGGTGGTTCATACTTATTTCCTCTTTTTTTAAGCTAGGTGTCATGGTTTGGGGATTTTTTGTATGGTAACCATTAGGTTTATAAAAAATAAACTTGCATATATACCATAGCTTTTTTTTTATCTATGAGTGCATCTGATCTTTATCTCCATTTGCCAGTTCAGATCTTTACCTCCTCCTTTTTTATGTTTTTGTTGTCACAAATTACCCCTGCTTATGCTGTAAGTTTTTTGGTGCTCTTACTTGTAGTGTTGTGACCTTATGTTCTTTGTTTCAGGAGGATAACTTCCTTGAGTATTTCTTACAATGGAGGTTTTCTGGTTATTAAATCCCTCAGCTGCTGTATGCCTGGGAACATCTTTATTTCTCCTTCATATTTAAAGGATAATTTTACTGGATATATTATTCATGACAAGTGATTTCTCTCTTTCAAATGTTTGAATATTTGGTTCCACGCTATTCTGGCTTGTGCAGTTTCTGCTGAGACATCAGATAAAATTCTGATGGGTTTTCCTTCTTTTCCTGGCTGCTTTGAGAATTTTTTTCTTTATCATTAATTTTTGACAGCTTTAATACAAAGTGTCTTGAAGAGGGCCTTTTTGGGTTGAATTTCAATCTTCTTATTTCAACCCAAAAAGGCCCTGTTCTGTTTGCTTCTTAGATTCAAGTACCTAATTCTTTCCATAGGTTTGGAAAGTTCTCATTCACTATTTGTTTGAATAGAATCTTTGTTCCATGCTCTCTCTCCTCCTCCTCCTCTGCAATGGCTATAATTCTAGTATTGATTTTTTTTTTTGGATGGAATCAGATAGTTCTCATTGCTAGATTACTACCCTCAATATCACTAATTCTTTCCTCCATCTGGTTAGCTCTGTTTTCTATGCTCAGTAGTTTACTCTTAATCTCCTTAATTGAATGCTTCATTTCCAGGATTTCTGATTGGTTCTTTTTTTTTTAATGTTTTTATTGATTTCAGAGAGGAAGGGAGAGGGATAGAGAGATAGAAACATCAATGATGAGAGAGAATCATTGACTGGCTGCCTCCTGCACGCCCCCTACTGGGAGGGAGGGGGTCGAGCCCACAATCCAGGCATGTGTCCTTGGCTGGAATCGAACCTGTGACCCTTTAGTCCATAGGCCGACGCTCTATCCACTGAGCCAAACCAGCTAGGACCTGATTGGTTCTTTTTTAAAGTTTTAATCTTTTTGGTAAAATTCTCATTTTGTTTATCGATTTGTTTTCTGAGTGCATTGAATTGCCTGTCTGTATTTTCTTGCATCTTGTTAAGTATTTTCAAAACTGCAATCTTGAAATCTCTGTCATTTATATCACATATTTCCATGTGTTCCAGCTTGCTTTCTGGAGATTGTTCATTTTCTTTCTGGTCATCGTAGTTACTGAGGTTATCCATGGTATTTGCTGTCCTCCTTTGCCTATGCATTTATCTCTGAAGAGTTCTTTCTACTATTTCTAGTAAATGGCACGAAATCGCAATATTTTTTTACCTCTCTGATCTCCCAATCTTGAACCTCTGTGGCTTCTGTCAGACAGTACAGCTGCACTGCTTGGGGGTGGGGTTTGCTTTGCCTCACTCTAATGGCAACCCCTGACCTCCATGGGATCCCACCCCAAGCTCTCCTCCTGGGATCAGTCACAGGGGGAAACAGCAGTTCTACTGTAATAGCTCTTGGTTTATAGATAATATGCTCCTGGATCCAACTACAAGGGCAACAGGAGGCGGGTTTGGGGAGTCCAAGCAGTGGCAGGGCTCTGTGGTTCCATTTCTTTGTCTGAAACACCACCTCTGGCCCAATAGTGGAGAGCTGCACAGCAAAACCCCATTCTCTGTCAAGCATCTGCTGATTCAGACATTGTTCATCCCTTCCATGCTGGGCTGCCCCTCTACAGCTCTCTGTTCCTTCTGGCCAAATGAAGCCCCTGCTACTGCCAGATTTCTGCCCTCTCCTGGCCAGCTGAGCCATTAGGCTTCAGGGCTGCATCTGTGGGCTTTCTGTGCTTTCCTCCCTTCTTGTCTTCCCATTTTTTTATTTCCAGTTGCCCATCTTTAGATGTTTCAATGCATGGGTCTCTCAATAGTGAGTCTGTGTTGAGAAGGGATTACTTTGTTGAATTATAGTTGTTTAACTTGTTGAAATTTCAGGAGGAGAGGGCAAGGGGCTTTCTCACACCACCATTTTTCTGGTGTCCAATAATTACTTTTTACTTTTTGGCACTGAGTCTTAAGCCAGCCAATCTTAAAAAAATATGTAACAACTAAAATTATTTGATGTGTGCTGTTGTGAGACTTTGTATTTAATCCCTTACTCTAATTTACACCATCTTTTCTTGTAGTCAAAAAAGCATCCGAAGATTAGGATATACATATTCACTTAGTGATTCTCTTCACAATCGGACACAATACAATGATGAGTACATTTGGAAGTTACGTTCTAAAGAAGATTTTATCAAAGCTAGGACTCCAAGAGAGATTGGGAGTCACAATTCTCACTCCAGTCAAGTAAGATAATACCTACATATCTATTTAATTTAATACTGTATCGATAATCCAATACCGAGAGTTTGAATATATCACAAAGATCCTTCATCATCTACAGTTATGGTTCTTCTTAGACTCTTTTGTCCACCTTTTCACATTTATTTCTAACTACTTCTTCCCTGGCCCCTCATTTTAAAATGAAAAAATTAAAATGAAATTTACATAGAGAAATTATAAGGGAAAGAAGGGGATGGAGAGGGAACTTGAAGATTAAAAGAGACTTGAAAGACAAATTTGGGACAGTGAGTATCCCTTTGAGGGATTTCAGTGTAAAGGCAAACTGAGAAATATTTTAGTAACTAGAGGAGAAATAGGATGAAGAGAGTTTTCTTTTTAAGATAGGAGAAATAAAGGCAGGCTCCGGTACTGATGGTAACCTCCCAGGAGAGAGGGAGGAATGGAAGTTGCAAGAGAGAGGTGAGAATTGTTGGTAATGTGCTGGAGTAGACTAAATGCAGGCTTTAGGGTACCAGGTGGGATCACCTGCTGGGTGACCCAGCAACTCATCTGCCAACACAGATGTGGTAGCTGACAGGTGATGTGGTGTGCTGTGTAAGTTCTCTTCATTGGCTTCAATTTTCTCATGGAAATAGGAAGCAAGAGAAAAGAGAGGGAAGATAGAAAGGTAGTGGAAGTTCTAAGTTTTATAATCATAAATCTCTTTGGAGACAAATAGGAGAGAAGACTTGGGGCTCCCAAGGCAAAACAGCAGCTGTCTTTCCTGTGGCCAGAGCTAAAATTCACGGGTCTTCTCTTCCTCTGGTCTTGCCTGAATATTTCTAGTTGGAGGCACAATTCTTTGGACTTTACAATGAAATATTTTTCATTAATGTAAAAGTTAAAGAAGTGATAAAGTACCGTGTAAACTGATAGCTTTGTAAACTGGTGTATCCTGTGGACAGGCACAGAATCTGCATGGTGCGCACAATGGGACATCTAGCTGAACCTGGGAAGGCTTAAAAGAATATGTACACACATGCATGCACACACGAACCATTAGGTGAAACCATGTGGATTTTCTTGAAAATTGTGTTTTTATTCATAGGACTTCTCTCACTGGACACTACCTCCACGTCACTCAATACCAGTGAAGAGCAACCTCCCTTGGAAAATCGCTGCTTCAATGGACGAGGTCAGGAAGGCTGTATCAAATCAGTTTACTTCCCATACTAGGAGAGACTTTGTGGACAAAATTGTGTTTTTATTGATAGGACTTCTTTCACTGGACACTACCTCCAGTTCACTCAACATCAGTGAAGAGGTACTTCCCTTGGAAAATCGCTGCTTCGATGGACAAGGTCAGGAACGCTGTATCTAATCAGTTTATTTCCCATACTAGGCGAGACTTTGTGGACAGAGCCGAAGGTAAGTGTGCCCATTTCTCTTCTTTACTGCTAATGCGCTAGGCACTGGAGTCCCAGTTCAAGGAACTCACAGGAGAGACATGGGAAAACTGCAGTTTACCAACAGATACAGTCAAGTATGAAATGCTGCATGTTGTGAGAAGTGCAGGATGCTGTAGGTGTGAACAATGGGACATCTAGCTGGACCTGGGAGAGAGTCCAGGAAAGTCTTCTTGGGATGAAGGACAAAGACAAGTGAGCCAGGTGAAGATGAAGGTGTTAAGTTAAACATCCTATTTCCAATTCTGAACTGCTTATTTACTATTCTTTAAAATTAGAACTTTCATTAAACCAGTTCATGCATATACTTAAAAATAATTCCCTACAAGCTCATAATGCATAGCAGCAGTTTCTTTACCCACCCGTCTATGCCCAGTCCTACTACACATTGATAATCATTTTCAGTCATTTCAACTGTTTTTTCTTATGTCCCCCTCTGCATTTTAAAATACTGTGCTCATTCTGCTATTTTTTTGTTCATAAATTTTAAACATTATAACTGACTTTCTTATATGGCAGTTGAGGATTTCTCTCTCCTATAACCCTTCCTCACTCTTCCTCCATCCATCCTCTCAAAATAATTATATTATAAAATTTTGGTTAATTAAAATGTTAGGTGTTATATTATGATTGTGATATGATATAATATGTAAATATTTACCACTGAGCCAGGTGTTATTTTATGATTATGTCTCTTTTCACTTTTTTTCTACCAGAATTAATAACCTTTTTTCATTTGTTTACTTTTCTATGCACCTGTCACTAATTTTTTTCAAATACTTTGTCACACACTTACCAAGATTTTCCCCAAATACAGTTTCAGACATTGTATCAGTTTGAGATTTTACTGGAGAACTGACACCTTCAATTTCCTCTAATCTAGAAGAGTTGTTCTGTAAATTTGCCACCCAACTGTGTCCTGGTACTTTTTCATCATTCGGGCATTTCTTTGGCCTCTTCCTGCCCTGTATCTCATTTCCTGAGTCCACATATTTCCCTTCCCTCATTTTGCTAAGACACATCTTCTAGTAGCTTCCTATTAAAGGGGGTGTAGAAGGAACTTTTTGAGTATGTTCTTACCAATATGAAAATGTCTTTTTTTCTTTCATTATATTTGTTGATAGTTTGTCTGGGTATAGAATTCTAAGATGAATATCATTTTCCCTCAAGTCCCTCAAATGACTTCTAGCACCCAGGACTGGTATGTAAAAGACTGATGTCATTTTGATTCCTGATTCTTTCATATTTTTTTTCCTGGAAGTTTTTAAGACCTTCTCTTTATTCTGGATACTGTAAAATTTCACATTTGCATGCATTACTGAGAATCTCATTTATTATGTTGGACAAACAGAGATTTTTTAAATCTGGAGACTTATGACCTTTGATTTTAGAAATTGTTCCCATATACTTTTTCCGTATTTTTCTCCCATTTCTTTTCTCTGTTCTCTTCTGGGACTCCTATGAGTTGGTTTTATCCTTCAATTTTCTTACATTTTCTCTCCTACTATCTTTCTCTTTGTATTTTTATCATGTTTAATGAAAATGTTTTTTACTTTTTAATCCAATTCTTTATGTCTTAAATTTCCAAGTTCTCTTCTTCTCCTCTCTGATTATTTTCTAAAAATAATATTCTGTTCTTGTTTTGTGATACAGCAATTCTCATAAATTTTAGGATATTTATGATATACTTTTTAGTGCTTTTATCTGTTCTTTGCTTAATCTCTATTTTTCTCTGTGTCTTAATGGTCTAGTGAAAATCTAGGGGCTTTTTGTTCACATTTACAAGGGAGTGAAGGCAGATTTACTATGAAACTAATAAAACTTAAGTCTCACTTTTCTGGACTTTTTTTTCTTAGAGTGTATTTACTTAAAATATTAAGCTACAGGGTTCACAAAATCTGATTGGAGGTACTCACATCTGATTGGAAACTACATACAGAGATGGGGCTTGTTGTCTGGTGCTTGACTTAGGTAAACATTGGTTGTTGTATTCTGAGAGCAGGACTGGGGAAGGGGCTGAGAGCTTCCTGCTTGCTGTGCATACTGTTCCTGAATCCTCCTTTTTCTCTGGTCTAGAATCTCACTACACCCTTCTGTTAACTGGTGTGCCAGAAACCAGAACTCCTTTGATTCAAGTTTGCACTAAATAAGTCTCTGGTTAGAAAGGGGATAAGATCAAAATATCTCCATATTGTAGATAAACATTAAGGGTCATGGAAAAACATCAGAAATGCCAATATTCTTAAAGAATGTCATTGAGCTTCCAATCAAAGTTGTCCTTTCAGTATGTGCAAATTACCATGTGTTCTTGTGAAAATAAATGCCAAAGACCTGTCAAGACACTCTTCTAAATCTCGTAATTCCATTTGCTTCTCTCTCTCTCTCTCTCTCTCTCTCTCCATAGCCACTGCCTTCGTTCATCTCTCCCTTGAAAGACCTCTAATCCCACTCCCTTTTCTGGTTTTGTCTCCTCTAGTTCATTGTCCATCCTTTAGCCATAGTGAGTATAAATTACATCACTTTCCAGTTTAACATCCTTCAATGACTCCCCATTGTCATCAGGGTCCTGTGCAATCTGGTTCTTGCCCACTGCTCCAGCATTTCCCCTCACCAGTCCCCACACTATGAGACTGATTGTTTTCCATCCTCCAGACTCACCAAGCCCCCTGCAGCCTCACACTTCACACACACTGCTGCTTCTCTGTGAACTGCCTCTCCCTTTCTTCTTTTAGCCCATGTCCATTCATCATTTAGGTCTAAATGCAAGCTGATTTTCTCCCAGTAGTCTTCTCTCATCCCCCAAGTTTGGATCAATGGCCTTTCCATATGTTTTTATAGTTCCTCTTCTGCAGCATTTATCACATAGATTGTAATTATCTATTTTTGAGGGGGGGGGTATCTGTTTCTCTAATGCAGTACTTTAAGTTTTGGAAGCTCAGGGATCATGTATTACCTGAGTGTACTCATAATTGAATTATGGTGAATGAGTGAGAAGCACTAAAAGGTACTTTTTCCTCAAAAAAATCAGGCTTGGAGAACTCTGCTTAGATGACTTATAATAGCAAATAAAAGCAACAGAATTGGTTCTCACTTGGCTGTAGATTATGTGCCAAGGGTCCTAGTGGTTTTGAATGGTCCTTGCTGTAAGTTCACTTTTGGATTGGACCTTTCAACAGATGCCACACCTAATCTTAAAGGAGCCAGTCTCTCCCTTTGGGCTCTAAGTGATGTAGTATTTGTCACCATTATCAAATGGAAAAGAACCCAGTGGGACCTGAGCTCCTGAGGAGAGGGGTGATGCTGGCCTTGGAGGGTGGTTAGCTTTGGGCCAGCTTGTCTTGTCTGTCCATGCTTCAGCACCACTATAGGGAATTCAGGTGTTGGTTGGGCCCCTTTGTATCAGGAACTTCTCTCCTTAATAATGCTGAAGAAAATCATTAACATGACATTTTATAAAGGCAATGAAAGCATTAGTTGAGAACTAATAACTGAGAATTATTTTATGCATTTATTACATATGCAGTCATTAGTGTGTGCTTCAGATTAACTGCTAATCGACAGCAATTATGTTCTAATTTTTCTTTTGTTCACTCATTAACTTAGTAAATATTTAATGAGGTCTATTACTGTGAAAAGTACTAAGGATCAATAAAGAATATAACAATCTTTTTCTTCAAAGAAACTCTGGGTAAGTCTAGGCCCCAATTATTGTGTTTTCTGGGTCTTCATCTCCAATTGCTCTACTTCTGTGTTGGTCCATCCTGGTCCACATAGACCAACCCCTCCATAACCTTCAGAGCCTGGTTCCTAACTTATCTCTCCTGCTTCCCCCTAAGCTACTTTTCCCTGCCCTGCATACCTTCCACTCCCGGCAGACAGACTACATTTCATGAACACACTGTGTACCTTTTGCTTCAGTGTTGATCCTTTGTCAAAGCACTCCTTTTGTTATGTCTGCCTTTTAATTCTCATCTTTCTTCCCTTTCCATAATAGAGCTCATTACACTCTCTCTGGGCTTCTGTAGCACCTATTCAAGGCTCTGAATCAGTGATTCTTAATCATATGAGAAGATTATTCACAATATAAGTGCCTGATTCCCACTGCTAGAAATTCTCGATGTCTGGGATGAGGTTCAGCAGATATAATTTGGAAAAATCATCCCAGTTATTTCTGATGCATTATCTCCATGTAATAATTATTTATCTAAGTGTTATACTTGCAAGACATCACATTCCACATGTGTTTGTACTGTATCTTTTTTTCTAATCATGCTTATTTGAGGTTATCTTAAGGTAGAACAATGGCTTAATTATCTCTAACCTTGGCACAGAACACATATAGGAACTAAACACATTTGCTTTTGAGTAGGAACATCAAGTATTTCAATAGGAATTTGTTTTTCTCCTATGAAGCTATTAGTAATTTATAGAATCCAAGTTATAGATGGTGTTTACAAGGAAAAATCCCAGATGATTTTCCAAAATATTTTAAGAGATCTCTGATTTTGAGCTCTAGAGTTTCCTCCTCTCTATAACCTTGTATTCTCCTGAGGCAGCTTATAGGTTCATTATGAGGGTCATTGAGTACCCACATCCTCTCTTCCTGAGTCATCTAAATTAAAAGCATGCTGATCTAGACAGAGATAATTTTTAAAAAATCAATAACAAAATGCTCCTGGGTGCCAGTAGATAACATCACATATTGTGTGATGTACAATGTACATTTGAATGTATTTTGAAAAGACCTATTGAAAAACCTCAGAGAGAAGGCAGAACGGAGGGGTTAGAGATCAACCAAAGGACTTGTATGCATGCATATTAGCATAACCAATGGACACAGACACTGGGGCGGTGGTGGCTTGTTCTGGGGGCAGAAATCGTGGGGGGCGGTCAATCGGGGAAAAAGGGCACATAAAAAAGAAAAACTAATTGGGAACAAGAATTCACTTTAGTTTCAATAGTAATTGGCACCCTTTGGACATTGCTTATGACATCCATGGTTTTAACATCTTTGTCCTGAATAAAGTTGGGGGTGTATGCTTCTGAACCAACATTTTGTAGCAAGAATTAAAGGTGAACTCATGTAAGTGAGAAGGTTATGACCATCTCCTCTAGAATCTGGTTGAGTGCTATGAAACTTAGCATTCAATTAGTGCTTAATAAATATCTAATGAATATTTATACTAATAATAGAGGAATATGCAAATTGGCTGGGACACCATCATGTAACGGGGACAGGGCCATGGCGGAGAGCTCTCAGCATGCCTGCGCCAGGGGTCCAAAGCACGCAGAGAGGAGGGGAGAGCAGATAGGCAGTTAGGGGGATCAGACCAGGAGGGGAGAGCAGATAGGCAGTTAGGGTAATCAGGCAAGGAAGGGAGACCAGATAGGCAGTTAGGGCGATCAGGCCAGGAGGGGAGAGCAGATAGGGGGATCAGGCCAGCAGGGGGGAGCAGTTAGGGGGATCAGGTCAGCAGGAAAGAGCAGTTAAGGGCCATCAGGCCAGCAGGGGAGCATTTAGGGGCATCAGGCAGGCAGGCAGGTAAGAACTTAGAAGCCAGTGGTTCCAGATTGTGAGAGGGATCCTGGATTGGAAAGGGTGCAGGCTGGGCTGAGGGACCTCCCCCCCGCCCCCAACCCCCCCGCACGAATTTCGTGCGCTGGGCCTCTAGTAGATAATGATTATAGAATATTTGTTAGCAGATTTATTTCAAAGAAATAATAGTGGTATTGTCCACTAACAACAATGATGTTACCTAACCCTCCACAGTAAGGAATAAGCTTTGAGTGGTAATGGGGATGATATACAATGCTCCATCTAGGGCTGTCAGGTGCAGCAAATAAGAATACAAGATGTCCAGTTAAATTTGAATGATATAAAGTAGATAAATACTGAGTACTTACCTAATCTTACCCTAAAAATTATACATTATTTGAAATTCAAATTTAACTGGCATCCTGTTTTATATGGCAACCCTAGCCCTATCTAAAGCACCTCTCCCTGCTCCCTAACCCTGCCCCAAGGACAAGACAGGCCTGCTGGAGGGAGGAATGCCTTTTGAGAACAAAGAGTACTCCTAACCAACAAAACATGTATTCATTAGAAACTGCTTCTAATCACTTGAGCGTATACTTCCTGTGCCTGATAAAGCAGAAAATTATTTCTTGATTGAAATTGACCATACCAGTAAATATAAAAAGAGTGAGGTTTAGTGTGATAAATTGGAAGCTACTGCCAGAAGCTAAGTGGAATGAGAATATGATGCTATTTAGAAATAACTGACAAGGAGTAATCATTGCCTTTTGTTTCCAACCTCACCCCAGCTCAGAAGATTAAGCAAAGTTCTCAGATGTTTCTGGAACGGAAAAAGTTACTTTCCCACCCCACAGACACCGAATTTCGACGCAATTACCAAGTTCCAGCTAAAATTCCTGAGTTTCAGGATTTTAGTTTCAAATATGGATGCAACTCACGCCCACCAATCGCTTCTCAGGGTCTAGGTAAGTGCACCTGTAGCTTTTATTTATTTTATTTTTCACATGTAGCTTTTTACAATTTTTTATTTTTTTCTCATCTGCTTTCACTTTTGTTGTTGTTGATGTTAATGCTCACCCGAGGACATTTTTCCATTAATTTTTAGAGAGAGTGGAAAGGAGGGGGAGAGGAAGATAGATAGAAACATTGATGTGAGAGAGACACATTGATTGGTTGCCTACCTCGTGCACTCTGACTGGTGCCTGGGATTGAGCCTGCAACCGAGGTACATGCCCTTGACCATAATCAAACCCATGACCTTTTAGTCTGTGGGCTAATGCTCTATCCACTGAGCCAAACCAATTAGGGCTCACCTATAGCTTTTCAAGCAACTTTAGGGCAACCACTTTGGGTCCCCTCCCTGTTAGGGGGAGTCCATCTATCACTAAATTTTGCTTCTGTTAACAAAAAAGAAAAGCAAACAAACAAAAATTAAGCAACTTCATAGATGTTATCCTCTTGCTTAAAGATTCCTCTTAATCTTAATAAGAGTCTCAGAGAATGACAGTGATCCCTGAATGGAATTAAAACTATGCCTCCATAGTACCCCCCCTCAAATTCAGGGAATGAGTAAGTCTCAAAGAGAAATGACTGCTTATTCCAAGAAATGAGTGCATCCTCAGCCTGGGAGGGACAGGTGTCGGGATTGGGGGACACCCCCCTCCATCATAATGTGAAAGGAAGAATTCAGTTTCTATAAATTTATAGGAAAAGAGATTAGGTGGGAATCAAATTGTCTTGTCAATTATTCACTGAAAGTTTATCCACAAGGCACACCCTTCAAGCAACTTCATATTTAAGAGGTGGGTGTGTATGTGACTGAGATTTCTACTGCTTTCAACAGAAAAAGTTCCGTGACCCAGCCACCTCCACACTGCTGGTTGAGAGTTGGGTGTCATTTTGAGATAGTGATTGATTCCTGGCATTGAGTTGGGACCAAGTAGTACTTTACACAGAAATCACAGAACAGATGCTCAGCATCTGGGGTTAGAAGGTAGCCGAGAAGTGACTTGTTCTAGATTCTCACTTCCTATGTGAGTCACTGCTAAACCATACTTTCCAAGGGGTGATATCATCCCTGCTCAGACTCTTCAGAGGAGTACTCATTCCCAAGGAGCTCTTTCATTCTTAGATATTTTAACTGTTTGAACATTCTGAACAGTTAGAATCTTTCTTGCTCAACTTCTAGCCAATTTTTCTTCTTCCCACAGAGTATAAATCTATTGTTCTATGAACACCTTAGTACATGGCTTCTAAGTCTCTTGCACTAAAAGCACTTTCAGACCCTAAAAATACTACTCAGATGTGGTGTCCAGTCCCCTCACCTACCCAGTCCCTCCATCAGGCCTATGGTTCATTTCAAGGAGGCAACTTGGAACTGAAGCAGTATTTAAGGTGTTCTCCTGGTTTACAAAGATTGGACAAATTGTGGACAGATTCTCACATCATCTTAATTGCTTTTATTTATTTATTTTTTGGGTAACTCCATGACTACTAGAACCCACATTAAATGAGCAGTGTTCAGGATCAAATGTAAGTGGCCGGCACCTCACACCTCCATTAGTCTGAATGTGCAATGAGTGCTGACTGTCGATGTCATCCTTGTTCCAAACTGCTCCTCGTATGGCACCTGGTGGAGGCCTCTTTATGTGTGAGTCCCAGTCTTCCCAGGAGATGGCATGAAAGGGAAACAAAGCAGGAGGCAAATGCTATCCTCCTAACATGCTGACCTGCAGAAGAGTTGATTCCAGGGAAAACTTCTTTTCTGAAATTAGTGGTCAAACTCAACCTTCTGGTGATCATCTCCAACTCCTCCCACTCCCACAGTAACAGTGCTGAGTCCCAGTCACTGCCTACCCGCGTCACTCACACAATGCCTCCTGTTCCCGCACCATTAAGTAGACATCAGGTTGGACTCAGGGCTGTCGGGGCGTGCTCCGCCAATAAAGGCAGAGGTGCCTTGTTTGGTGACAACATCTGTCTTTCCTTCCCTGGTGTCCCCCTAGTCCCTTCCGTACTATGCAGCCACATGAAGAATCAGGACCGCACCAAGAAGCAGACCATATACCAGAGTGACTACGGGAAAGCCTACCTGGATTTCTTAATGATCTTGAACTCATTTACTCCCTCTCAAGTAACCGAGTACCTGCAAAGTGTTTCCTGCAAAGGTAAGATGAGGTCTTGAGTTACTTGTTCATGAATTTACAGGTCATAATACATTGTTTTACACGAAATAGAAATTGTTCCAACTTCCAGACACTGTAGTTAAATGTTCACAAAAAGAAAAATATTGCCTCAAAGTTTCCATAGTTTTTGTGCAAACCTCAACCCATTGAAAATAAATTTCCCTTAAAAGAGGCCCCAGTAACTATATTCCCACTTATTAAAAAGGAAACAAAGCTTTTCATTCATTTCTAACCTTACTTGCCTGTGGCTGAATTGTTCCAGGGTGACTTTTGCTTATAGTTAATGGTTTTCTCCAGTGGCTGTGTGTGCTGTCTCATAGATTTCTTTTATTCTGTGTAATCTCTTTTTCCTGTTTGGTAGTACTTTTCTGTGACAGGTGTTTTAGGGTACATGAGTATTTTCACATGTCATATCCTCAAAGAGAGTAAGTGCCATCCCCAGTACCTGCTGACCCACTCTATGTAACAAGGACTTATCCCAGGTTGGGGCCTAGTGACAGGAATCTACTTGGGAACATCTCAGGGCAACTGGCCAGTCCGGACATGGAAAGTGTGAACTCAGAGAAGAGGAATTGGAGGGGAGGAAATGATACTCATCTGACAGATGCCTCTTAGCACCCGATGCTATTGTTCATGCCCTATGATTCCTCATTTTTAAGCACATGACCAATGCAGACATGTATATTTATTTAACGTGTATACATATACCACTAAACTAATGTATTATGTTTATTATAAATCAGAAAAAATGTGGGAGGAGGAAATAAGAGCAAACATAATAGGGGTTATAGTATTCCTCCTTGCACCTAGTGGACCATCTCGTTCGCCCTACCTGTGTTCTAGGCTATGTGGTGGTCACTGCCTTGTTCCGTGCCCTGTGGTCAGGCTTGAACTCAGAAGAACTACCAGCTACTCAGTAACCTTCCACCTTCTCTCGGGTCCCCAGTTTCTGTCAGCAGCCATGATCAGAAGAGCTTCTTCTGAAATCCTTGATGAAACTCTTTTATTCGTGGATTTGCTGCTCCACACCAGACTGAAACCCTGCTGGAGGCAAGACTAAAAAGGGGATGTGTGTGAATGTGCTTGTGTGTGTGTGTGTGTGTGTGTGTGTGTGTGTGTGTGTGTGTCTGTCTGTGAGGGGTACCTTCCACCCTCACAGACTAAGGGCTGATGCCCTAAAGACCCGTAAAAGAGCTTGAGTGTTGGATCTCAAAAAGGTACCAGCAGCAGATGTCCTGCCTCACTCTAAGGCAGAAGCAAAAGTCTGTATTTCCCATCGGGAACTTAATTCCTGTTAACAAATGCCTCTGGGCCAGTATGACACTCAGAAAGACATCGAGGGGCTCCTTGAAAGATAGAGTCCATCTCAGATCTTCCCAGGAGGCAGAGCAGAAGTGTGCAGTGGGCCAAGCCTGCTCTTTGAGCCTTTCGCCAGTTTGGGTTCAGATGTATAAAACCATCATCTACATTTTATCAGGGCTGAGCTCACCTCTAGAAGCCACCATCTGTTTGACCTGTAGATTGAGTATTTCTGTCTTACGGAGGCAGATGCTCCCATCTGCCCAGAACTTGGGACACAGATAGAGCTGTCCCTTCTCTGCCCACATGGAAACCATGCAGGCTGCTGGGCCCCTCTGTTCTTGTCTGTGTGTCATTTGCAATCAGAGCCTCGGCCATGTGTCCTGAGTGTGAATAAACACTCCTTAGAGTGCTCTGGCAGCCTCTGCTCCACTTCCTTGGGTAAACTGATCCTTCACAGAAACACTGTCCCCAGTTGAGCTTTTCTCCCTGGACAGTTGAGACATGACCTGTTACCTGACAAGGTAGCTTTGGGGCCAGTCTGGGCATGGGTTTCTTCTTAGCTGACCTGCTTCCCTGGGTCCCTTGGGACAGCACTGAGGGCAGGCACCCCAATGCTCAGGCCCTGCAGCCTTGCTACTTTGCACTGACTTGAGTCATGTAGGATTTGCTTCCAGTGGGTTCTAGTTTTTCTTTCTTAGCTTTGCTTTAGAGTGGCCTGCTCATCAATGCCAGCTGTGCCAGAGGCTGGCAAGCAAGTAGGAGGCTCCCTTGAATTCTGAAGCCAAAACCTCTTGTCATGTCCACTGTCTGGGATGACACTAATGCTTTTCTGGCAAATATCTCAGCAGAGCTCATTTGTGGCAGAGCTGACTAGGTATGCAAGAGAATGCAAACTGGGCAGGTATGTTAGGTTGATTTATCACCACAGCTTCAGTTATTTTATAGGATTATACCTCTTAGCACAGGAGCCCATTCAGGTTTAGTTTGAACGAGAGAGGGGAAGGGGAAGGATCAGTATAATGGCCTAAGTCAGGGGCTGGGGAGGTGGCGGGGTGAAGCGGGACTGAGAAA